AGTAACATAATATGTGATAGCCACATAATGTGTGATACTTGTCTCATAATCCAGATATCGGTCTCATATTATATATGATCCTTGCAACATAATCTGTGATCCTTACAACCATGTTAACATAATATGTGATAGCCACAGCAATGTGTGATACTTGTCTCATAATCTGTGATACTCTTGTCTCATAATCCATGATCCCCTGCAAACACGATCTCAGACCCTTACAACCACGGTTGGTACATAACGCTATATAGCCACAATATGTCACCACTCACCACATCATCCATATTGCTTCTTGAGCAGCGTGTTCATTTGTTTCAATAGACAGTCCGAGGCTCTGCTGAAAGGATGCCAGTTGGCTGCCAATTCTCAACCGAAAGTCAGTGATAGCCGCTTTGGCTACACCACTTCAGGCATTCAGGTAAGCACTGGTATTACACCTCGCAACCATGTGGCAACGTTTCTCATCGCAACCAACTCCAGAGCGTCAGATTTCACGGGCAACATCGAGCCATCATCTTACAGCATCCACCATCCGACCTCTGGGATACCCATGACGAAAATGGCAGCAATACAAGTTAGCAACTTATTTCCACCTTCTAAACTTGTTTGCTGACAGAGCCGAAAGCATTGGCCCACCCATTATATGATCGACCAGACAAGAAACGGAAAATCCCATCATTCTCCGGAGAAAAGCAAAGTCCATCGGTCACCCATTGATTATGATCGAGCACCATAAAAACAGCAAGTACTCTTTGCTTCAACAACTATTCTCACATAATATATGTACAACCACCGGTGTAATTCCATAACAATGTGCTGAAGGCCTCCATGTAACGTGATAATAATGTCAAGGAAGGCCATGTAATCTGATGGTAGTGCAATGGAGGCCCATGTAATATGATAGTAGTATGATGGAGGCCCATGTAGCAAGACAATGGTGTGATGGAGGCCTATGTAACATGATAGTTGTGTGATGGAGGCCTGCGTAATAATGATGGTAGTGTGATGGAGGCCTATGTAATACAATGGTAGTGTGATGGAGGCCTATGTAATACAATGGTAGTGTGATGGATGCCTATGTAATATGAAAGTTGTGTGATGGAGGCCTATGTCATATGATGGATGTGTGATGGAGGCCTGTGTAATATGATGGTTGTGTGATGGAGGCCTGTGCATTATGATGGCTGTGTGGATGGAGGCCTGTGTAATATGATGGCTGTGTGATGGAGGCCCTGTATTATGATGGTTGTGTGATGGAGGCCTGTGTAATATGATGGTTGGTGTGACAGAGGCCCGTGTAATATGATGGCTGTGTGATGGAGGCCTCGTGTAATATGATGGCTGAGGCATGGAGGCCTGTGTGTGGTGGCGATGGCTGTGGGTGATGGAGGCCTGCGTAATATGATGGATACAGTGATGGAGTCATGTAATAATACGACAGCAGTTTGATGGAGGCCCATGTAATATGATAGCTGTGTGATGGAGGCCTATGGCCATATGATGGTTGTGTGATGGAGGCCTGCGTCATAAGGATGGTTGTGGTGATGGGAGGCCTGTAATAATGCATGACAGTTTGATGTGGAGGCCTATGTAATATGATAGTTGTGTGATGGAGGCCTATGTCATAAGGGGAGAGCAAAGTGATGGAGACTCATGTCATATGATGGTTGTGTGGATGGAGACCTGGCACATATGATGGTTGTGTGTGGATAGAGGCCTGTGTGATATGATGGTTGTGTGATGGAGGCCTGTGTAATATGAGGAGCAGTGGATGAGACCTATGTCATATGATGGCTGTGTGATAGAGGCTCAGTGATAAGAGATGGTTGTGGTGGATGGAGGCGCAGTGTGATATGATGGTTGTGTGGATGGGAGGCCTATGTAACAAAGGGGTACAATGGTGTGGATGGAGCTCTATATAATATGATAGTTGTGTGATGGAGGCTCTATGTAATATGATGGTAGTGTGGATGAGGCCTATGTAATAATAACAATGGTAGTGGGGATGGCGCCTGTGTAATACACAATGGTAGTGTGTGATGTGGAGGCCTCATGTAATACAATGGTAGTGATGATGGAGGCCTATGTAATACAATGGTGTGATGAGGCCTATGTAATAACAATGGTAGTGTGATGGAGGCCTGCAGCATTATGATAGTTGTGTGATGGAGGCCTATGTAATATGATGGTAGTGTGATGGAGGCCTATGTAATATGATGGTTGTGTGATGGAGACCTATGTAATATGATGGTTGTGTGATGGAGGCCCATGTCATACGACAGTGGTGTGTTGGAGGCCTGTGTAATATGATAGTTGTGTGATGGAGGCCTATGTAATATGATAGTTGTGTGATGGAGACCTATGTAATATGATGGTTGTGTGATGGAGGCCCATGTCATACGACAGTGGTGTGTTGGAGGCCTGTGTAATATGATGGTATTGCAATGGAGGCCTATGTCATATGATGGTTGTGTGATGGAGACCTATGTCATATGATGGTTGTGTGATGGAGACCTATGTCATATGATGGTTGTGTGATAGAGGCCTGTGTGATATGATGGTTGTGTGATGGAGGCCTGTGTAATATGATGGTTGTGTGATGGAGACCTATGTCATATGATGGTTGTGTGATAGAGGCCTGTGTGATATGATGGTTGTGTCATGGAGGCGTGTGTGATATGATGGTTGTGTGATGGAGGCCTATGTAACAAGGCAATGGTGTGATGGAGGCCTATATAATATGATAGTTGTGTGATGGAGGCCTATGTAATATGATGGTAGTGTGATGGAGGCCTATGTAATACAATGGTAGTGTGATGGAGGCCTATGTAATACAATGGTAGTGTGATGGAGGCCTATGTAATACAATGGTAGTGTGATGGAGGCCTATGTAATACAATGGTAGTGTGATGGAGGCCTATGTAATACAATGGTAGTGTGATGGAGGCCTATGTAATACAATGGTAGTGTGATGGAGGCCTATATAATATGATAGTTGTGTGATGGAGGCCTATGTAATATGATGGTAGTGTGATGGAGGCCTATGTAATATGATGGTTGTGTGATGGAGACCTATGTAATATGATGGTTGTGTGATGGAGGCCCATGTCATACAGACAGTGGTGTGTTGGAGGCCTGTGTAATATGATAGTTGTGTGATGGAGGCCTATGTAATATGATAGTTGTGTGATGGAGACCTATGTAATATGATGGTTGTGTGATGGAGGCCCATGTCATACGACAGTGGTGTGTTGGAGGCCTGTGTAATATGATGGTATTGCAATGGAGGCCTATGTAGTATGATGGTAGTGTGATGGAGGCCTATGTAGTATGATGGTATTGCAATGGAGGCCTATGTAGTACTATGATAGTGTGCTTCAGGGCCAAGTAATACAATGCTGGCATGAGATATATATCACCCTTCTCACATCTTTCAGCATCACATCTCCAACTGGAAGAGTCTGCTGACTGATCCATGTGGACAGGTAAATATATAGACAAAAACCTGTGTTATTCTGTATTTATGTTACCTTTGGAAAAATGTTTTGTAATTATTGGTGTTATGTGAACAGTCTGTTTAATTGCTTATCAGTGTATTGTGAGAGATTTTAGTTTTAGTTTTTAAATAGAGACTGCTCAAGTCCAGTAAACATTGCCAGTACTACCAGCTAACCTCTTGTTGGTGTTACATGTTCTAGTTGTAGTGTAATCAGCAATTTGCCAACTTGTATCGAGAACCATTCATATTGATGAACTATGACACTGGTTAGGTGGTTGAGCCGATATATAAATGACACTGACAAACATTATTCAGCTTCCAGATAGTATCTCTGACGCTTGGTCTAACATTGGCAATGGTTTTGCTAACATTGCCAACGTTAGGGGCCAACGTCCGAAAGCGCTATCTGGGATGTCATTTGAGAGGATCTAAATGTGTGGAACAACAGTCATTACTTCTTTGTGAGTCTTCATGAAGGTCCACTGGGTCTTCAGCAACCCCCATGCTTGTCATAAGAGGCCACTCACAAATTGGGTGGTTTGTTATCGCGTCTCCTGTAGGGTGGTTTGTAGGCAGTACCTATTATATTTGATTAGCTACTTTGAATTTTAGGCCAGAGCTTTTGTGACCAACTAATTAAAGGTCTGGCGCTGAAAACAACATATTCTCTCAATATAGTTCACATACATAGTTTAGAAACGCTTTTCTTACCTTTTCAAGTTCTGTATAACTATAAAGGTGAGCTCTGTACCTGTGACTCTTGTTATACTCTTACTACATGATGTGTTCCTCCCATCCTCCTACCTCCAAATTCCTCCCTCCCCCCTCCCTAGCTCCCCATCCAACTCCTTGATTATGCTGTTCACAGAGTGTGACTGCTTAATTACATGGACCTCATGGACGCATTCCAACCGCATGTATTCCTTTGTCCTGACCCTGCAGCTACACCATCAAGGTCAACGTAGGTGCTCTGTCAGTCACACATGTCTGGTGTCCGTGATAGAGGATTGATTAACAAACTGAAATAAATCTGTCATGTAGATAAAAAAAAAATTATTTGTTACTTTACATTACATGTAGTGATACCGCTCATGGCCTGTTTAAAGAGAGATTTCTGCTGATGTTACATCCATGATGCTGCCAATGCCATTTACAGGTTCGTATGCGGCGCGTATGCGGCGCATGCTCCGCGCGGCGCGGCGCGTTCATATGCGGCGCATATGCTCAGCATGCATCCTAGTGGTTAAAGCTGCTACGGGCCATCACACCACTGAAGAACCTAGGGTTTGACTTCCCAAGTGGGTACAATGTGAAGCCCATTTCCCCATGCCCCCACCGCGGATATTCCTGAAATATTGCCGCTAAGCATAAACCAAACTCACTCACTCACCAATACAGGTTCACAGATGTTAAACTTTATGTTTATGATGTGCAGAGACAGAGTGGTGCCTCCAGCCCTGACTCCTCTCCCAGGAACCCGCCACTGTACAGCTGCAGAGCAAAGGGCACTCAAGGATGGCTCGAGACCCCTCCCCCAGGTGCCACCCCAGTCCTACCAGAGGCTCATTCAGAACCAGGTATGTTCACTCTCACTGTACACATTCCAACATTACTTCAGGTTTATAATGATGTGGGATAAACTTGGTTGCCTACAACACGTTTGTTGTTCGAAGCTGCCAACAGGAGCATGTGGTCAGGATTGCTAACTTGGTAGACACATGTCATCATATCCTTATTGTGGAGGTTGATGATCACGATGTCAATCACCAGATTGTCGGGTCCAGATTTGAGTATTTACATACCAATTTTATAGAGCTGGAATATTGCAGAATTCAGATTTAAAGAAACAAGAACATGGATGACATTTTAAGTTAAATTAAATTTAGTTCTAATACATTTGTGCCTTTCACAATATTGTATTGTTACCCCAAGTACTTGATATCCCTAGTACATGACTGGAAGGGGATAAATATGCTCACCTTACTTTTAGCAGGACCATTTTGGCAAGTGAGAGGTGAGAGCAGATTCCAGACATATTTGCTGTAACTTTATTTGAAGCTAACATTAGCCTTCAGGCAGAACTAGCGCTAATACACAGAGACACTCTAACAGCTTAATCTCACGACAAACACTCACAGCTCTTGGTTATTGATCTGATCGTTTCCTGCTGATTTCACCAGTTGCTCAGCAACCTATGCTGGTTGTCGAGGTGTCTGAATGGACTGGGTGGTGACTGACTTGGTCAAGACAACATGGGCTTGGCTCCCCATGAGGAACCAGTGTACAATAGGTCCCCACTCACAACCTGTTTTTGTCTCCCTATGAAGAACCTGGGTTCAATCTCACTAAAATTATACCTTAGTGTTTGCTACCACCTTACAAAGATGTGAGGACAACTTGACTCACATCAGAACAACCTTTCATCCAAGGAATCAGATCAGGAAAGATCACCAGCGTGGCATAAATATTTGAATGGAAGACTCTTTTCATAGCCTATGTACCGACAAACAATCTGGACCTATCTTTGTAGTTTCTTATTCAGAATTTTCTTTATGTTAGATTCTGAATAAGTATTTTTTTCAAAACAACTCTTTGAATGGAAGTGGATTATAAGTTTGACACTAGTTCTGTAAAGCTTTGAGAAAGTTGCTCTCTGATTTGCTTTGCTATCATTTCATTAGTTGATCCGGAGAAGCTTTAGAGGTCTCTCTGATGAAGTTACATGATGTCCAGAGCAGTATGTGTGTCACGCTTAGAAACAGCGGTAGAAAGACATATAGGTATATAGACCCAACTCCTAGTACTATATAAAAGGATAAGGGGATGTAACGATCGGAACACATCTTCCTCGGTTAAGTTTCTTCACCACGCAAACTATTTTAAGGCCCCGCCGAGACTCCACGGATTGAAAGCCAGATGATTTCCTACGTAAAATGAAAGCTTTGCAAATGGTCAGCAATCGATCATTATTTCAAAAGTTATACGCCACCACTCACCGAAACAGCTACCGCAATTCCCAAGCCAAAATCATGGATCACCCAAGACAGCAAAACTCACCTTTAAATTTGTTTATTAATTCCAGCCACGTTGACAGCACCTATGTAGGCTAGATTCGATCGGGCAGCCTATCTCCACGGTCTAAAACTTATTGCAACATTCTACAAATCATTTCCTCGACAGTAAGCAGGCATGTTCTCCAAAACCATCGGCAATCAAAATCACTTTGTCGCCATAGATGGCCTTGACATTCAAGGCGATCTGAGCAGATTCAAGAGAAACTAAATTGGGCCATCCGGGATTGGTGGAAAATGTAATATACTGTAAGATTTTGACTGTTTGCTAATGGGCTTAAATATGAACTTTGCAATAATCCTATATTTTGGATTATGTATCGGAATAGTAAATTGTTAAGAATGGTTTTAGAGGTTGTAAAAGGCATTCGGATATTGATTCATTTTAGGAAATTATATTTATAAATATTTAACCTCTAAAATTATTCTTACAAATTTAGTGTTCTCAGGTCACTTAAAATGTCAAGGCCATCTATGGCCCATAAGGAGTATGCTCTTGCCGATGGTTTTGGAGAAAATGCCTGCTTACTGTCGAGGAAATGATCGGTAGATGCTGCAATAAGTTTTAGACCCGTGGAATGGTGCTGCCGATCGAATCTAGCCCTACATAGGTGCTGCCAACGTGGCTGGAATTAATAAACGAATTTAAAAGGTGAGTTTTCGCTGTCTTGGGTAATCCATGATTTTGGCTTGGAATTGCGGAGGTAGCTGTTTTCGGTGAGTGGTGGCGTATAACTTTTGAAATAATGATCCGATTGTGACCATTTATAGCTCATTTTGTAGGGAAATCATCTGGCTTTCAATCCGTAGGTCTCGACGGGGCCTTAAAATAGTTTACATGGTGAAATCTAACTTAGATTGAGGAGGGGGTGGTTCCGTCGTTACATCCCTTTCCTTTTATATAGTACTAGGGTTGGGTCTATATACCTATATGTCTTTCTACCGCTGTTTCTAAGCGTGACACGCCCCTGTGGTCCAGAGATCTTTGTCTAGCAGTAGCAAGTGCTATCATCTGATGTAATGGCAATGAACCATGTTAGAATACGTCCCTTATGGTTGTTTTACAAGGCAACTATGAGGTCAGTCACAAGAACTTTGTTCGTTGGTTGTCATTGTCAAGTCTTGTAGCAGAGGAGCCTCACGGTGTACTGGACCAGTGGTGCTAGTTACTTACAGGTCTAAAGTGTTTAAGTGTTGTAGCAGATTAGAGCCTCATGGTGTAATGGGCCAGTGGTGGTGCTTGTTACTTACAGGTCTAAAGTGTTTAAGTGTTGTAGCAGATTAGAGCCTCATGGTGTAATGGGCCAGTGGTGGTGCTGGTTACTTACAGGTCTAAAAGTGTTTAAGTGTTGTAGCAGATTAGAGCCCCATGGTGTAATGGGCCAGTGGTGGTGCTGGTTAATTACAGGTCTAAAGTGTTTAAGTGTTGTAGCAGATTAGAGCCTCATGGTGTAATGGGCCAGTGGTGGTGCTATAGTACTGTCGGAAATAGAAAAAAACTCTATTTTCTGATTTATCTCTACAATTTATGTAGTTGATATGTAAAAGCGTGGAAATATCTGTTAAACTAAGTTCGCCTAACGCATAGTCCTCAAGTGGTAGGGAGATAGGAAACGGAGAAAAAGGACTTTACTGAGGGAAATTAGTACAGAAATAAGCAAAGACTTATTTGGAGCAGACCATGGCTTTATGCAAATTAGTGTGCTTAACGATATTGTATTACAAAGGACACTTTTAAATGCCCAATTTGAAATAAGATCGTGAGATTCATTATAAACTTATAGCTGACGAAAAATAATAACTTTTATGCCGAAACTATTAAGGATGTAGCTACCATGCAGTCTCACTGTCACTATAAAAGAAACAGATAGGAGGGGTCAGCCTCAAAAGCAAAACCTGGATCGGGCTTGGGGATAGAGATATCAGCTAAGATAAGATAATCCTTTAGGGCAATCATACTGGGAGGTACACGGCACGCCATAACAATTTACAAATAATATCCAGTCCTGTCGATCTTCGGGTGGTCATGCCACCTATATACTACGCCATGCGCTTCTATGGTTTTCGGTATCATACTCTCTTACATATCTCAACATAAACTTTATGAAAGAAAAACACACGAAGATGTTAATCAGTAGATGAGACATAGTAAACACACATAAAAACGCACAAAATATCTTTGAGATGACCCCTTGTGCCTGTAGGCAGCACGCATTTCATGCCAGGTGAGTCAACGGTCTGTCGTCATACCTGGCTGAGCAACCTAATTGCCATCTATGGTCTGATCTATTGTTTTCAGCAGCTATTCGTATTTTTTATAAGTTTTAATTCGATTTTATGAGTAAACATGCTTTTTCTGGATATCAGATACGATCCCACTGAATGCCCAGTTAGGCCCGGCGGGTTATTTCGAAATATGCCATTTGTAATTGTGTAAATTTTAGGGATACAGAGTAACAGCCTCAAAACAGTTTTTTTCTATTTCCGACAGTACTATAGTTACTTACAGGCCTAAACTGTTTAAGTGTTGTAGCAGATTAGATCCTCATGGTGTAATGGGCCAGTGGTGGTGCTAGTTACTTACAGGCCTAAAGTGTTTAAGTGTTGTAGCAGATTAGAGCCTCATGGTGTAATGGGAAAGTGGTGGTGCTAGTTACTTACAGGCCTAAAGTGTTTAAGCGTTGTAGCAGATTAGAGCCCTCACGTGTAATGGGAAATTGGTGGTGCTAGTTAATTACAGGCCTAAAGTGTTTAAGTGTTGTAGCAGATTAGAGCCTCACGCGGTGTAATGGGAAATTGGTGGTGCTAGTTACTTACAGGCCTAAAGTGTTTAAGGTTGTAGCAGATTAGAGCCTCATGGTGTAATGGGCCATTGGTGGTGCTAGTTACTTACAGGTATAAACTGTTTAAGTGTTGTAGCAGATTAGAGCCCTCGCGGTGTAATGGGCCAGTGGTGGTGCTAGTTAATTACAGGCATAAACTGTTTAATGTTGTAGCAGATTAGATCCTCACGGTGTAATGGGCCAACTGGTGGTGCTAGTTACTTACAGGCCTAAAGTGTTTAAGTGTTGTAGCAGATTAGAGCCTCATGGTGTAATGGGAAATTGGTGGTGCTAGTTACTTACAGGCCTAAAGTGTTTAAGTGTTGTAGCAGAAGAGAGAGACGGTGTACTGGGCCAGTGATGCGGCCAGTTTCAAGGAGGCCTTACAGGACAATGTATTTGCTCTTCAGTATATGTTTATACTACTGATACCACTATATCAGAAAATGTCTAGTCACACTGTAATTCCTCACAAACTCTAGTAACATATACTGTATTAATAAAGAAGTAAAACAGATATAGTTTAGTACATTGTATGTTATAAACCATAACTTAACACACATTTCTCTGTAACGGAATGTATCATGAATACAGAAAGTCACTTTACGCATGACCATTTATGAAGCTAATACACTTACTTATTACAGTTACCATATTATGTAGAAAGCAGAACATATCTCTATGTTCATATGAGAGGATATTTGTAAATAGACCATTTGCTGATATATAAGTATCAGTAGAATCCGCTTATGAAATACAATACATATTTGAAAATATTGTAAGGGGAAGATTTACACACCTGATATGTGACGGTGTAGTAACGTGATGACATACACTCCTGCTGGTATGACTATTGTAAAAAGGAGGGATTCACACCCGCTTACATGTCTAACCTCCACTTCTGTACATCTTAGTCTTTTTCTGTCACTTTCTCAGACTTAAAACATACATAACCAAGTTCTTTCTTAGTTTTATTTAATACATAATGTTGATATATGTGTTAGAAGAAGAGAAAATGAATCAATTTGAGGTAAGAGAAAAAAATGTAGATTTGAATATAGCTTCCATCACACTGCCTTTCCTCTGTTCCTTGTATAATTGATGGAACTGGATGTGGCAGTGTGTTGTACTGTGTGCTGAAGTGACGGATATTATCTGTATACAGTGGAAACCGCCTAAGTAAAGACCGCTTTAACTAAAGAGATCGGATAAGTAAACACTTTTCTTTGGTCCCGCAAATTTCTTCATTAATTATCACTATTAGAGTCTGGTTAACTAAACTTGATAAGTAAACAATAACGCTTTAGCTAAACGCCTTCACACGGTCCCCTGGAAGTAAATTACATTTAACAAAAGAGACCGGATAACTAAATGATCCGACATGAGGGCACGTGGTCAGTCTCCAGCTAAACAAACATCCTACTTACAGCTCACTGGCGCCATGACAGCTGACAATACACTGACAACTGGAGGCCATATTACCGCACAAATGTTGTCTGTTATTCCATTGTATACATATACATGCATATGGTTGTCATTGCAGGTTTTTATAAGTTTGATAGTAAAAATACCTGATAAGTAAACAATTTTGGCGTAGTCCCTTGAAATTTTACTTATCAGGTTTCCACTGTATATTGTATCTCCTGTGAAACATGCAGTTCCAGTATATCTGTGCCCATGGTAACTAGTGATCTGACTAAGCACTGTTTCTGTATTCAGGAAGAACAGCACAGATACGACCATCTAAAGCAGACCTCGGGTCAAAGGGCACGCCTGTCAACTACCAGGAACAGACTTCACTAGCTGCAGGACCAGCTCTCTCCATCCCTCCTGCAGATATACAGATATCACTTCATATCTTCAGATTTATAAAGATACACTGATATCACATCATATTCATCAGATGTTTATAACACATCATATCCATCACCGCTTCACGCCATTGTAATTGATAACATCTGATATAAAGATGTACTGATATAAAGGTTCTAATTTTACTTATAATATCAACCAATCAAAATTTTATTCAGCATAAAATATGTACCTCACTCTGTATGTGTAGATAACCATTACAGCATTGGCCCGAGTTCTCCCAAGGTAAAGAGTATGGTTTTATGCCACCTTGGCATTATTCCAACTATATCATGGCAAGGGCTCCTAAAATATGGGGAACCAAACCTGGGTCTTCAGTGTTATCGTTTAATGTTTAACCACCATGCTACTCAACCACCCTTCTCTATGTCATCTCTAGCTGCTAGAGTTGCAGCGCAGTCTGTTTTAACATAACTCAGTTTACAACTTACAATCGTCTCTCATTAGTCTCATGCCTTTGTTTATTTAGGGTCAAGGTCAAAGGAATGACCTTGATGATTTAATTGTCATCATACTGTGATTGCACAATCCTCGATAATCTCCAGGGTATACATTGCTACAATAAATCTCCACTATTGATTGGATGGTGATTGCATTGATTGTATTTCTTCCTTTCAACCCTGGTTTGTATGACTCCAATTGAATCAACTACAAGCCTCCTGAATGTAGCAGGAATTGTGCCCTCATGTTCTGTCACAACATTCTCTGTAAAACCACCCTCTTGTTGCATTGTACTGTATGCTTCTAGATCTAACCTTCTAATCTTTAGTACCTTCTCCAGAATTCTGCAGAGCTGGAATGTGGGTACAACATTGAATCTTTTTCAGTCATGTAGAGTTTCATGGAGCTGGATTATGTCTACAAAATAGAATCTTTTTCAGTCATATAACTGGAATATTGTGAACTTCTGTGTTAAACAACTGACGGACTGTTTATGTGAAGCTCATTTCTATTATTAAAGCCCCAGTGCTAAGGATATTGCTGGAATATTGCTAAAGAAACCTAAAACTCACTCACTCACACTGGACTGTTCACGCCAATAGATGTATATTTCACTTGAACTGTTATAGAGATTTAATTTCCATACTATCAGTTGTATTTTCATTGTTATTTTTGTTTGAAAATTATATTATGGGTTACATAGAGTTTGTCTTCATGTCAAGCTAGTACCAACTCATGGATGTGTATATTTGTTTGTTTTTGTTTGTTTACTGACCCACTTCTGTACAGAAGATCAAGAAGACTACTTTCATCAGTCTATGCAGTTGGGATAAAATGACATGCAATCAATCAAGTCACAAATCTTGACCATTTAATCCATGTAGTCACCTCTAAGTAGGACTTGATTGAGGGGACGTACAGTCTGAATCACAAGTACATCTTGGATATTAATTACGGCACAATGTGGGGAAGTGTTTGTGTGTCCCTTGGCATATTAATGTATGTATGTGTTTCTGTAAACATTTGTTAGCCATGGAATTAAAAAAATAGCGGAGAGAATGTTGTTGTGTGTGTGAGTGTATTAAATGAAATCATTACTAAATGCTCAGTGAAACCTAACATCAAACTCCAGACATCTTCTTCCCGATGAATTTATAGGAAATATGAAGAATAAATATTATCTTTATTACTTTTGAATAGTCTTTTTTGTTAAACAGATAATATTAGATTGCATCAGAGACCATATAATAATAAAATATTTATTATATGGTCTCTGATTCCATATATTTCCCGCGAAACAGTGTAACGGGTATCCTCCCATTTGTTACACCCCCAACCTGACTGTGTAACAACTGGCAACATCAGAGTGTGTAACAACTGGCATGTGTAACAAATGGGAGACAACCGTGTAACGGAGAACAGTATGTGATAGGCTGGCAGTATTTGAACCTAGCCTCAATTTCTGCTATAACTCCGGCTAGGAAACAATAGAGCACTTTACTTTTCTTTTCTTGGATACAATATTGTCTGCATTTTCTATCATTAATAAGTTATAGGGCAAGTGTTGTGAAACTAACAACAAACCATCAGCAGTGTGGGACGCTACCATCAACCTCGTCACCACAGAGCTTTAAGATTTCTCATTAGCCGGACTCAGTTATTTCAAAGTGTCATAACGTGCTTCACAGTGTGTGAAATTGATGAATGGACAAAGTGAAATGACGTAAGCTCACAGTTACAATGTCCCAATAGTTAATATTTGTTGTACAGTCAGAGAGAGTATATAATAATGTTGAAAACAATAAGTTCTGTATTCTTCCTAAGATGTATATAACCCACAAACAAAATGTAATTACCAATTGTATGTAAATATTTAGGGAGTTGGGTATTTTAGTTGGATGTTCTAACTGGGGTACAAACCCAAAAGAATTACATTTGTGATTAAAAATCCAATGGCTTAAATCAATGTACCATGACAATGGTATAAAACTCAGACAGTTGTGATAATATCTACCTAGCTACCCTGTCCAAGTCAAGCTTTTGAAATAGGCCTGACCCTGAACTAGTGAAAAGCAGCTCTTCACACACTCCTGGTCTTCTTGTAATGTAATGTAATTTAATCTTACCAAGACAAGATTTTGCTTCCTGTTTTAAAAATAAAGGAATTGCTCTCTTGGTCAAGCTGCTGGGAATGGCCGGGGAAACTCAAGAATCTTCCTGTCCAGTCTCCACTCTGACCCTGACTATAACACACACCACAGCCTAAGTCGGGTGTATCTTAACAGAAACATTGTCACTAAATTTCATAACACAGTGAATAACACTGCCATGTAACAGCATGCCAGGTCATCTTAAAACCTGTGTACAAATCCTGAAAGATGCGTACATTCAGAAAAGGCAGGATCTCCGTCAACTAAATCTATTGTTAGTACTATGCCATTAATCAACATAAGTTTATATGCTTGGTGTATATTTACTCACGTCTACTGACAACTATTCATCCATTCTGTAGGCATACCCATATAAAAATGGCAGATATATATTATCCTTCGGGGAACATATAAACATTAGATTATGTAAATAATGTTAAATTAGTTTTAATAATGAATATCATGTCTTATGTGTTTTTCCAGTTCAGGCCAGACCAATTTTATTTCTTGTTTTACAGATCCACCTGTCGTATTTTTTCAAGAATAAGAAAAAAATAAAAATGAATATTCCCCTCTCAAAAAATAAAGTCCTAAAGTTTTCATTTGCTGAAAATGTAAACATATGAGAAATTTTGTTTTAACATTGTGTTTTGCCCCATATACACTTCATAAATTGCCAAAAGTACCATACTTTGAGTATTTAGAGAGAATATTACTTTGACTGGTGATTTTATTTTAATTTTTTTCCCCTCCTGCCTTTAGGTTTTCTGAGGAAAGAAATCCGTAAAGCAAGAAATAAAATTGGTCTGGCCTTACAATGATTTAAAAGAGGCAAATGTATACGTGTTCTTAACCAGAATGTATCAATGAAAAGTCACTGTGCCAAGATGAAAAGTATTCTTTATCTTTTAATTCCATTGCAAAAAGAAAACTTACAATGAATTAGGGTAAATACACCCCAAATAATGTGTTATGTTTTCAGTCTAATCAGTACCATGGAGAAAGATTGTTTTGGGTCAATATTTTTCTTCCTTAATATTTGAAATTTAAGCAAGTCTTTGATGCTCGTTGGATAGACTTCTTGGAGTACAGACATGGCACAGAAATATAAGTATAAAAGCTTGTGTGTCAAGTATCAGTATCTCATGAAAGTATCTGATATGCTCCATAATAACCATAATGTACATGGTTTTTTTCCTTAATAACTTTATTATCAAGCAGACTATATTTCCAGTTGCTAAAAAAGTTAAAGGTTATCGCCTTCTGAGTATTCTGAGTGTGTTGCTTCAATTGTGCATGGTATCAAAGCCAACCGTATTCTGTTGTACACACGCAGGTGCTCTACCGTTAAACATTTCAAGCTAAAAGGTGTATATTCACCGAGTTATGTCCCCAAGTTCCCATTTTCCTTGGCTGGTTCCTGGTTCCCTTTGCGGATTGGTCAACTTTATACAAAACTAAGAGCCGGTAGCCGTTGAAAACGCTTCAGCGCTTTTATTTGACGTCACATCCGGATTAGTCCAGCTGATTCCGTCTCTACACTGACGCTCTCCGTGATGATCGGGAAACTAGTTACGTGATAGGGTAACCTGGCTGGCTGCAGTTTAATTGTTTTAGTCAAGTCTGGATTATATCCTCTGTTAGGAATATTTTCTTGACAAGATTACGAATATTTCATTATATTAAAGTAGTTACCGGTAAAATGGAGCTCTTCGGTGGTGCAGGCAAAATTACTGTAATAATTTAATAAAATCATTATCAAACCCCGATGTGCCAGCTTATACATAGAGGATTGCAGGTGTATAATCAACAAAATATATAAAATATTGGGGTCCAGATATTTCTTCGCCAAAACTCCTTTATATCTGGGCAATGCTCTTTTCGCCCTTCAAGGTAATCAGCGATTATTACCATTATACGGTAATTACCGTGCATATATATTCCCTTAATGATAAATAGGCTTCTGGATAATCGATTTGGTGCGGAAATATTATCTGTGTGGAGTTTTCATTTATCCCCTTTACAGACTCGGACTAGATTATGTCCAGTCAGAATATTAAACCATCTCTCATTTTATTACCGGTTGTATACCCTTCACACTGAACAATGGAAATCATGAATATTCATTTATGTTAAAGCAGGGATAATCTAATGTCTTCTATTCTTCCTGGTTAAAGCTTTATGTGCACATTGTCACAGATGGTCATTGTAAAACAAAGCTTAAAGGTGTTAAATATGCATCCAGCGACTCAGGATTACCATTCAAATTCAAATTATCAAGTGAAGTGATCCCCTTAAGA